TAGTATCCAATTTGTGTTGGATGATACTTCTGTAGCCAATTTGCTTGATATTACCAGGGTCACATAATTGTTGCTATCAATGGGTTTTCTCTTTGTGACATTAACAATACTAGAGTACATTCCCAGAGAATTTGGTGGTGGGCCAATTTTACTGCATACTTCCCTCCCAAATTAACTGAGGTGGTTGGATCTTACGGTTGATGCAAAGGACTACAGCCATGCTCAAAGTACATCACTGACAGGAAACGATATACGAGAGATCTCTACAATAGCAACTAAGTCTTAACATTACAAGTGTCCATAAACAGAATGCAGTATATCATTAAAGAGGTTTTACATCATGACTAAGTAAGATTAATTCTAGGACGCAGAGACAGTTCCACATATGCAAATCAATGACTGTAATACACCACTTGAACAGAAGCAAGGACAAAAATCACATGATTATCTCAATAAACTCAGAAAAAGCATTTGACAAACATCCATTCATGATAAAAATCCTGAATAAAATAGGTATAGAAGGTCTTTATCTCAACCTGATAAAAACCTCTATGATGAACCAATGGCCAACATCATACTAAATGGAGAGAAGCTGAAATCTTTTCTCTAAAATCAGAAACAAGAAACAAATGTCTGCTATCACCACTCCTGTTCAATATAGTTCTCAAAACAGCCAGAGCAGTTAGGTAAGAGAAAGAAATAAAAGGGACATGGATAGCAAAGGAAGAAAAATTGTCACTATCTGCAGATGATATGATCTTCTATGTAGAAGACCTTAAAAACTTCACCAAGGCTCCCAGAATAACTAAATTCAGTAGCATAGTAGGATACAAAATCAACACTCAAAAGTCAATATACTCACTGAAAGAGAAATTAGGGAAACACTACCTTTCACAATAGCATCAAGAAAAATGAAATACTTGGAAATTAACCTAAACAAGGATGAGCAAGACCTCTACCATGAAAGCTACAGTACTCTGAAAAGGGAGATGGAAGAGGATAGCAGAAAATGTGAAGATGTCCCCTGTTCTGGAGAGGTAGAACCAATATAGTCAATATGGCCATACTTCCAAAATTGCTATACAAATTTAACGCAATCTCAATCAAAATGCAACAGCATTCCTCACAGAACTAGAGAAAACAATCCTTAAACTCATATGGAATCAGAAGACACCTGTAATAGCAAAAGCAATTCTTAGCAACCATGGAAAGGAAGGGGCCATCCCAATTCCGGACTTCATGTTATACTACAAAGCTACAGTGATAAAAACAGCATGGTATTGCGGGGGGAAGCTTGTGGATCAGTGGAATTGAATAGAGGATGCAGAAACAACTTCAAGCACACTCAGTTATCTTGTTTTGACAAAGGTGTCAAATACTTTCACTGGAGGAAGAAATAGCCTCTTTAACAAATGGTGCTAGGAAAACTGGCTATCCACATGCTGCATGCTGAAGACTGAACCTGGACCTCTCACTATTTACTAAATTACAATAAAAATGGATCAAAGATCAAAATATTAAAGCAGGGGTGGGGATTTAGCTCAGTGGTGTGACCACCTGCCTTGCAAGTAAGCACAAGGTCCTGAGTTCAATCACTGGTAAAAACAACAACAACAACAACAACAAACAATCTGTTAGAAGACAAAATAAGTAAAATTCTGGAATACACAGGCATAGGCAAAGACTTTGAGCAGAACCCTGGCTGCACAAGAAATAATACCAAGATCAACAAATGAGCTATCAAATTAAAAAGCTACTACACAGCAAAGGAAATCACTGAAAGAGTGAAGAGACAACCTACAGAATAGGAAAAAAATTTTGTCAGCTATTCCTAGACAAAGGATTAATATCTAGAATATATAAAGAACTCAAAAATTAGACCCCCAAATTTGAAAACGCAGTAAAATCAGGCATCTGAAACCAACAGACACTTCTCAGATAAAGAAGTATAAATGGCCAGTAAATATATAAAAAAATGTTCATCACCACTGGCTGTTTGAGAAATGCAAACTAAAGTAACACTGAGATTTCACCTCACTCCAAAAAGTTGGCTATTATCAAGAAATCAAATAGTAACAAACATGGGAGAGGCTGCAGGGGGTGGGGAATAAACCTTTCTTCATTGTTGGTCAGAGTGTAAATTGGTACAATCACTGTGTAAATCACTAGGAGATTCCTCTAAAACTAAAAATAGAAATTCCACTTGACTCAGCTATTCCCCTTCTAGATTATCTTTCTGAAATAAAGATGTTATATTACAGTGACACATGTATACTTAGGTCTATAAGTGAAATTCATAATATCTAAATCTTGCAAGCAGCCTATATGTCCATAAGCAGATGAAAGGTTAAAGAGAACGTGACCTTCATATATAATGGAATAGTAGTTTACCATAAAGAAAGATACAGACCACAATGTTAAGTGAAGTAAATTAGATACACAAGCTTAAATATCATATAGTTTGTCTTATGAGAAATCCAACATATAAAGTACAAAAGGCAAAAAAAGGAACGCAATAGTTTCATGACTATTTACCTATGTAAAAATTTATCAAATTATACACTTAAAACATGTGCAATGTTATATGCCAATTATCTCTCAATAAAGTTGTGTTTAAAAAAAATAAAGATGATGAACATTTTTTCATGTACTTATTGGCCATTTGTACTTCAAGAAATGTATATTCAGTTCATTTGACTATTTTTTGATTGGATCACTTATTTTGGGGGGGTTACTATTTTTTAAAGTTCTTTATATATTCTAGATGTTAGTCCTCTTTCAGAAAAATAGCAACCTACCTCTCTGTAGGTTGTCTTTTCACTCAGTTGATTATTTCCTTGTCTTGTAGAAGCCTTTTAATTTGACATAATACCACTTGTTGATTTAATTTTTAAATTATTTATTTATTTATTTATTGAGAATTGAACTCAGGACCTTCACACTGAGCTACACACCTAGCCTTTTAAAAATTTTGAAACAGGGTCTCACTAAATCACTAAGTTGCCTAGGCTGTGCCCAAACTTTGTGAGCCTCCTCCCTCAGCCTCTCAGGGTGCTGGGATTATGTGCCACCACACCAAGCTGAGTCTTGGTATTATTTCCAGTGCTAGTGGAGTTCTGTTCAAAAAGTACTTGCCTGTGGCTATGACTTTAATCGTTTCCCCTATGTTATCTTCCAGTAGTTTCAAAATTTGTTTTTATATCTAGGTCTTTGATCCATTTTTATTTTAGTACAGGGTAGGAGATATGGATCTAGTTTCTGTATGAAATACAGAAAATGTATAATCTTCTGCATGTGCATAACCAGTTTTCCTGGTACCATTTGTTTAAGAGGCTATCTTTTCTCCAACATGTTTTTGGCCTATCAAAAATCACATGACTGAAGGTTCATCGGGGTTGTTTCTGTGTCTTCTGTTATATTCCACTGATTCACAAGTCTATTTTTGTTCCAGTATCATCATGTTGTTTTGCTATTATAGCTTTGTGGCACAGCTTGAAATCCAGTGTTGTGATGCTTCGTGCTTTGTTGTTTTTGCTCTGGATTGCTTTGGCTAGTGTAGGCCTCTTCTGGTTCCATATACATTTTAGGATTGTTTTTTCCAGTTCTATGAAGAATGTTGGTGGTATTTCAATAAAGATTGCATTAAGTCTATAGACTGCTTTTGGTAATAAGGCTATTTTTAAAATATAAATTCTGCTGATCCATGAACAAGGGATGTCTCTCCATTTTCAATGTCCTCTTCAATTTTTTTCTTCAGAGTTCTGTAGTTTTCATTACAGAAGTCTTTCATTTTCTTGGCTAGGTTGATTCCTAGATATTACATACTTAATGTGTTTAAGGTATCTTGAATGGAATTTTTTCCCTATCTCATTATTGGTGTACAGAAATGCCACTGATTTTTTTTGGTACCAGGGATCAAACTTGGGACCTTGCGCTTGTGAGGCAGGCAGTGGAACCACTGAGCTAAATCCCCGGCCCTGCCATTGATTTTTGTGTGTTGATTCTGTATCTTTTCTCTCCTTTTTTATGGAGCATGAGGAAGGAATCCAGTGCCCTTACACATGCTAGGCAGGTGCTAGTCTACCACTGAGTCACATCCCTAGCTCAATATTTTTTCTTAATGGTATGATCTTTATTCTGAAGTGAAGTTCTCTGAGAAATGCAGTTGTATTAGCTATGTAGTAAAAAGGGAATATGATAGCTTGTTTATTGAATATTCACTGTAGTCTCAATTGCTACAGTTTTAATAACCCCACTGCCTAGGGGTAATTTTTAAAATACAAGGTAAATTTTCCTATTTAATTCCAGGAGCTTGCTCATTTTATATTCATAAACTATTTAGTCTCCCAACATTTAAAAGGACAAAAAGACAGGAACTGAATCTAATTTTAGTCTATGGATTACTAGCTGAACAGTGTGGTTGACTCACAGAAAATATTCAATATATGCTGAATGGACAGCTCTGTGAATCCAAAATATGCAATTTTATGTACTTTTACATAAAATAGGAACCAAAAATTACACTGACTTTAAACTGCACCAAAGACTTGGAAATTTGCTTTAGAAGTCTATTAGATGACCGTCCCTTGTGTGGTAGTGCATGCCTGTAATTCCAGCTACTCAGGATGTTGAAGCAGGAAGATAGCAAATTTAAGGCCAGCCGAGGCAATTCAGTGAGATTCTGACTCAAAAAAAAAAGGCCAGGGATATAATTTAGTGATAGAGCATTTGCCAAGCATACACAAGGTCAGGTTTAATGTCCAGTCCCATAAAACCAAACCAAACTAAAACAAATGCACCCCCTGGCACCCCACTGAGCTGATCATTCTTGGGAGGATGAGACAGCCATTTTAGTTTTTATTATTTTAGAACTGATTAGAATCAATTGGAAGTAACTCTTAAGATTAAAATTATTCATTGATACCTTTTTAATGGGAAAATGTAAAGATTAAACAGGGACTTTTGACACATGAGAGTCAACAAATGCTTTGTGTTCTTACCCTCGGTTCTGCAAGTCTTCTAAGTTGGAGGCATTCCACTCTGAGCCCTATGGAATGAAGAAGACAAGGTGAGCAAATATCAGGAAGTCAATCAAATACAGTTACTTGAAAAAGAGTACCGTAAGAAATAGTAGAATTTAAAGAGGGCCAGTAACATCTACTCAGTGCTCTGTTATCACAAGTGGTTTATATGTTATTGTACTTCATTTTCCCAAATGACAGAGTAAGAAAGTTATCTTCACCGGGCATGGTGGTGCATGCCTGTAATCCCAGCACTTGGGAGGCTGAGCCAGGAGGATCACCATGAGTTTGAGACCAGCCTGGGCTACATAGTGAGTTCCAGGTCAGTCTCAACTACATAGTGAGGCCCTGTCTCAAACAAAACAAAACAAAAAACAAAACGAAAGTTATCTTCACTGGGCATGGTGGTGCATGTCTGTAATCCCAGCTACTCAGGAGCATGAAGCAGGAGGATCTCAAATTCAAGTCCAGCCTGGGCAATTTAGCAAGATCTTAGCAATAGATCGACAGCTAGATAGCTAGATGGGCTTAGCAATGTAGCTCAATAGTAGAATGCCCGATAAAAGTTAACTTCATTTTCTTTTTTTTTTCCTTTTATTGAGTTTATTGATACATTTTAGGTATATAGTACAGTTACATTCATTATCTTGTACCTATTACATGACAGGTCTTGGTTCTCATTTTTTCCCCTTGTCCCTGCCCTCCCTTCACTCCTTCCTCCTCTCCCCATTAACAAACACTTTATTTCCATTTTTTCATTTTCTCATATTTTTTTCTTTCCCCTATTACCTTTCCCCTACCCTTCCCACTTTCCCTATACCTTTAGCCCTTTTCTTTTCATTTCACAATGTCAGTTATCTCATTAGGATCTTATGTACTATTATAGTTTACTCACACCAGAGAAACTATTCAGTATTTACACATGTGTGACTTATTTATTTCACTTAGGAGTATATCCTCAATATGTATCCATTTTCCTATAAATGAATCTAATTTCTCATCCTTTATGGTTGAGTAGTATTCCATTTTATAGAAAAATCACATCTTTATCCACTCTCCAACTGATGGGCAAATGGGCTGTTTCCAAATTTTAGCTATTACAAACTGTGCCGCTATAAATATGGGTGTGCATGTATCACTCTGGTGTGATTCTTTTAATTCTTTTGGAAAGATACCCAGAAGAGGGATGGCTGGGTCAAATGGAACCTCTAGTCCCAGCTCTTTGAGTTATCTCCATATTGATTTCCATAGTGGTTGCACCAGAATGCACTCCCACCAACAACGGAGAAGGGTTCCTCTCTTCCCACAACCCCGCCAACATTTGTTATTGGTTGATTTCTTGATGGCAGCCATTCTTTGTGGGGTGAGTTGGAATCTCAGTGTTGTTTTCATCTGCATCTCTTGAATGACCAGTGATGTGGACCATTTTTTCATATATTTACTTGCTGCTTTTACTTCTTTGACTGAGAAATATCTGTTCATTTCAGATGCCCATTTTTGAATCGGGTCTTTATATTTGGGGGGACTGATTGTTTTGATTTTTTTATATATTCTAGATAATAAAAGTCCTTTGTCTGAGGAGCAGCTGGTAAAATTTTTTTCCCACATTGTAGGTTGTCTCTTAGTTCTGTTGATGGTTTCTTTTGCAGTGCATTCATTTTCATTTTTACAGATAAGAAAACTGATCTTCATAAAATTCAAATCATTTTTGCTCAGATGACAGAGGAGGAGGTGTCTTTGACCATCCAGCCTAAGTTAGGTGTTTTATGTTACTGTCACTCTTAGTAATCTGATATTTTGCTCAAGCATGTATCACAATTTGTACTTATATATTTCTATTATATCCTTATTTTCAAATCATCTTGTCTACTGTAAAATAAGCTCCTTCAGGGTAGAAATCAGGTCTGTTGTTTCCTATACAACCTGTGCATATCACAAGTGCCTAATACTGATAAACAGTTGTTGAACAAACAAAGCAGCATTTATGAAGTAACCTAGATCTGATTCCAAAGTCTACACTTTTCTGGTGCATTATATTGCATCTAAAGAGTGGAGGGCAGGATGTGTGCACGTGGTGGAAAAGTATGAAACAGCTTTTATCAAACAAAGGTGGAAACACAGTGTGTAAAATTTTAAGGCAGGGACAAATGGCAAATTTGGGGAGGATTGTTCTGCAGATTATCTGGAAGACATGTCAGTTGTAGTATTTTGCTGCATTTACATTATCATTTTTCCTTTTTCTTTCATTATATATTATTTAAAAAAAATACAAGATCTTGTAATTTAATCTAGGCCAACCTTGAACTTGCTACATAGACCAGGCTAGCCTTGAATTTGCAATCCTGCCTCAGCCTCATTAGTGCTGGGATTACAGATATGTATCACCACACCTGTTTATTATACATCACATTTTATCATTTGAAAGCAATTTAACTATGACACTTAATTTTGTTTTTGTTTTTATACCGGGTATTGAACTCCAGGACCTTGTACTTGTAAAGCAGGCAGTGGAACCCCTGAGCTAAGTCCCTGGCCCTTATGACATTTAATTTAATTTAATTTTTTTGGTACTGGAGATCGAACTCTGGTCCTTGCGCTTGCAAGGCAGGCAGCAGAGCCATTGAGCTAAATCCCCAGCCCCAACACTTAATTTTAAACATGTATAATCTAAGAACATTTTCTTACATAATGTGATAATATTCAAGAAATATAACAGTAACACAATAACCAAATATACTATCTATATTTGAACTTTCAATGTTCCCAAAATGCCCTTTATCTTTGCTCAATTAAGGCTTATACTTTGCACATGCTTGCCATACCTTCATTACCTCTTCTAAATTAGAAGGGTTACTCATACCTTTTGGTGGGGAGTCTTTTAAAATACTGACATTTTTGTAGATTTAAGATTTTTTTTTTTTGGGGTACTGGGGATCGAACTTGGGACCTTGCGTTAGCTTGTGAGGCAGGTGGCAGAACCACTGAGCTAAATCCCCAACCAAGATCTTTGAGAACTCTCTACAATCTGGGTTTGTGAGACAATTTCCTGATTAGATTTAGGTCAAACATTTTGGCAAGAATACTACAAAAGTGACAATATGTACTTTCTACTGCATCAAATCAGCAGGCACACAACTCATTTGTCCCATTATTTGACATGTTGAATTTGAACTCTGCACTTTGTGTCTACCACATCCCTCTACTGCAAATTTCTTTACAATTCATTGGTAACCTTTGGGCATCAGTCATCTCTGAAGTTGTATGAATATACTATTTTATAACTTTTATCCTTTGGATTTATTATCAATTGCTGATCTTACCCAAATCAATTATTTTATCAGAGGTTACAAGGTATTGATTTTTCTGTAAAAGCAGGGCTTCATTCTTTTTTTTTAGAGTGTTACCATGCCCTCCCCCAAGCCCTCCACTGCACCTCAAACTCAGGACCTTGTGCTTGCCAGACAAGTGTGGTACAACTGAGTTACAACCCTTGTTTTTCATGGTACTTGGGTTTGAACCTAGGGCCTGTGCATGCTAGGCAAGTGCTCTGCCACTGAGCTATGTGAAAAGCCATTGAGTATCATTGGACTGGACTCTAGCACTCTTTTTTTGTTTTTGTTTTTGGTACTGAGTATTGAACTCAGGACCTTGTGGTTGCCAGGCAGGTGCGTGGCCACTCAGCCACATCTCTGGCCCTTGAGCTTGTGAGGCACGCCCATTCTTTCGTATTTAATGTTATAATTCACTACCATCATTATGTGACACTCAAATTATCTGGAGTTTGGCCAGTAGAAATCGTGTCAAGCTGGTTCCTTTTGATCTAATCCCATTAATCTTTGAATATTTCCTTGCTTTCTGGTGCAAAAGTTGTTCCAGATTCATTTTGTGAGTAGACTCACCATTTCCTCAAAAAGCCCTGCTTTTTTCAGTAAAGAATGATATTTTGTAATCAAGATTGATCCGGGCATTAATTAGGTATGCTTATAACTGTCAGGTATCATTGCTTCTAAAACTTTGCAGTGGACAAAGGTAGAAAATATTTCCAAAAAAATATTGAGTTTAAACTGAGTGTGGTGGCACATGCCTATAATCCTAGCTACTTACGAATGAGGCAGGATCACAGCTTGAGGCCAACCTGGGCAATTTAATGAAATATTGTCTCAAAATAAAAAAAATAAAGAGGACTAGGAATGCTCTGTGGTAGAGTACCCCAGGTACCCAATTCCCCAGTACTGAGAAAAAGAGGAGGAGAAGAAGAACTGAGTTTGAGTTTGTATTGTTATCTCCAATTCACATTCAACACCATAGGGTTCTTCCTCACCCTCTTGCCCTTCACCATTCATTCATTCATTCATTCACTCATTCATTCATTTCATAGGGGGTCACCACGTAGCTCAGGCTATCCATGAAGTTTTGGTCTTCTTTCCTCAGACTCTCATGTTCTGAGAGAGAGTGTATGTGTGCTACCATACCTGGTTTTGTTTGTTTCATTTCCTTCCTTTCTCTCTCTCTCTCTTTTTTTTTTTTTTGAGACAGGGTCTTGCTATGTAGTTCAGCCCAGCCTTAAACTCACTATGTAGCTCAGGATGGCCTCAAACTCATGGCAATCCTCTGGCCTCAGCCTCCTGAGTGCTGGGATTACAGGCGTGCACCATCATGCCTGGCCATATTTGGTTCTTTTGCCCACCATTTGTATCTCCCTAGTCTACACTGAGGTCCTTGGTTTCCAAGACCTCATTTATTCTATTTACAAAATAGATTCAACATTATTAAGCCAACACTACAACCAATAACAAACCTATTAAATTCAAAATTTCTTTGTCTTTTTCTTAGTCATGTGTCACTAAAGATAAAATCAAAGTTCATCCTTCAAAGTTACTTTAATTTCTTTCTGTGAACTCATTAATTTGATATACATTTGGATAAATTTGCCTCATGTTTGTATTCAGTTTTAAAGTATGCTTTTCCCATTTTTTTATTTAATTTTTTTGAGCATAGCTAAAGTCAAAAGTTTATTAAAAAGCTT